TTTTTTTTTTTTTTTACTTTTTTTCCTTCCTGCTTTTAGGGGAACTTTGAGATCACAGCCTGAAGCAGTGATGGAGCACCTGGTGAGGGGTGCAGCCCTGCCTGCACAGGTGGAAGCAATGCAGCCGTGGGGCAGATGGGGCTGAGCCTGGCTCCACCCCTCCCTCGCCTCATTGAAGGGCTGGCAGCCCCACAGGCAGGGTTTCTTCCTGGAGATGCCTCTTGTGGATTGCTGGGTGAGCTCTGGTTCGGGGGAAGAGGTCAGCGATTCTTTCTTGATGGCTGTTGGGGTTTTGATCTCTGCCTTTCTGTGGGGATTGTAAGCTGGTTTACGGTAGCTCTGTCAGCTCTGCCTCTGCTTCTGATGCCTTCCACTTGTTCTCTGAGGGCAGTCAAGGGGTTCTCTGCCTTTCTCTGAACTGGTAACGGAGGGACTGATGGACGTTCCTTTCTTTTGCTCTCATCTGTTTCGGGAACGCTTCAGTCAGCCTCAAGGTGACGCTGGTTGGTTGACTGAGCGTTGCGACTCCAGAAATGCCTGGAGCTGATGCACTGTTCTGTAAAGGGATTCTGTGTTCTGCAGAGTTCCTCTGCAACTCTTTCTAAGCTCAACACCTTCTTGTGACGTCTCTGTTCCCTCTTTCGTGATTCTCATTGTGGGATCTCCAACCTGGGCCTCCAAACTCACTCCGTCTGCTCCCACATTGCCGCAGCCCATTTTATGACACGTTCCCTCTGCGTCCTCGCGTCCTCCCTGTGTCCTCTGCCTGTGTCCCCTCTGCGTCTCCTGTGCCACGCATTCATTCCACCTGTGCTGAGTGTTGTTTGAGGGCACGCATTTCAATTCCGTTCCGCATCTCGTTGGATCTCCTTCTGTTTTGCGGCTCAATGGGGTCGAAGGGTTTCTGGGGCTCCTCTGGTTAGTGGTTCCAGCGCTGTGCAATCTGTGGGGCGGACGCTGGAACGGCAGGAACCCCTTGTTCATGCGTTGCTTGTATGCGGGTGGGTTTTGGGCCGGCTGTGGGCAGCTCCCTTGGAGATGCAATGGGGGTTGGTCCCCAGGGCTTGCCCTGCTCCCTGCCCTTTGTCCTTGCAGCCCCATGAGCTCCGTGGCTGGCGATAGAGCGAGGTGTGTGGATGCGGCTGGGAGCTGAGCTGCAGGAAAGCCCTGGGCCCCAGCGGCCGTTTGCTTCATCCTCACCCAGCGCCGTCCGCTCTGCGCTGCTCGAGCGCACTGAGCACAAGGATTCAGTTCCTGTTTGGCCTGGTTCTCTCCCAGATCTCCCTTAGGAATTGGTCGGCAGCAACAGGTGTCAGGGCACGGCTCTGCGAGCGCCTTGTGGCCAACCCCCCCAGGCTCTCAGGGCTCTTTCTGTCGTGCTGGCAGATGTGGCTTTGTATTGATAGGAAACAAAGGGCCGTCCTCTGCTGGAGCGCTGTGTCTGGATCACCACAGATATCTCCATCCCAGCCATCAGGGGATGCTGTCAGTTTCCCAGTCTGGATGCCACCCAACCTCCCCAGCCCTCTTCCTTCCATCCCTGCCCCCCGTTCCATAGCAGCCCTGCAGCCATGGCACCCAGCAGTGCAATGCAGCAATACCTCTGGTGCGCTGAATGCTGGGGCCGGCACAGAGAGGCTCTGTGGCCGACGTGGATCTTCCTGGTTGGACTGCTTGTGAGTTTCCTGGAGCTGTTGAGCACACGGGGTTCCCCGCCTGCCCTGATTGCTTACAAGGCCATCAATGTCCTTTGTGTCGTCGTGCCTCACGGCTTCAGGTATCGTGCCATAGACTCCTTAGAGTTGGAAGGGACCATTTGTGATGATCTAGTGCGACTCCCCACAAGGAACAGGGACATCCACAGCTCGATCGGGCTGCCCAGGGCCTGATCCCGCCTCACCTTGGAAGGGACAGGGCATCCACCGCCTCTCTGTGCAGCCTGTTCCACTGCCCAGAATCACAGAATGTCCTGGGTTGGAAGGGGCCTCAAGGCCCACGAGTCTCCAGCCCCCCACCAACGCAGGGCCGCCAACCTCCCCATTTCGCAGCAGCCCAGGCTGCCCAGGGCCCCATCCAACCTGGCCTTGAACACCTCCAGGGGTGGATGGGGCATCACAGCCTCTCTGGGCAGCTGTTCCAGCACCTCACCGCTCTCACAGTAAAGAACTTCGCCCTGACATCCAATCTCAATCTCCCCTCCCTCAACTTAAAACCATTTCCCTTTGTCCCTTGCTGTAAAAAGACATTTTCCTTACATCTAAACTAAGTTTTCCCTTCTTCTTTCCTTTAGCTCCCTTTAGGTATCGAAAGGCTGTTACCAGGTCGCCTTGGAGCCTTCACTTCTCCGGGCTGAACAGCCCCAGCTCTCTCAGCCTGTCCTTGGAGGAGAGCTGTTTGATCCCTTGGTTCTGTTTTTTTTTTTTTTTTTTTTTGTGGCCATCCTCTGATGTGATCCAACAGGTCCATGTCTCTTCTGCACTGAGGACTCTACATCCCGACAAAATCTCTAGATGTGGGATTGTGCAGAATATGGACTCAGATAAGGGAAGCCTCTTTACTTCACAGGTTCTACAGGAGCTGATGAGAACTTCAGAAATAAAGTGGGAGCTCCATACTCCGTGGCACCCTCCTTCTTCAGGGAATGTAGAATGAATCAATCAGATGCTGAAGAAGCACTTGTCAAAATTGGTTTTAGAGACCAAACTACCATGGACAAAGTGTTTGCCTGTAGCCCTTGTCAGAACACAAACCACTCACAGGAAAGGCTTAGGAGTATCACCCTATGAAGTGCTGTTTGAGTTGCTGTACTTGGGAATGGTGAGATGCCCGCTCTTGAAACCAAGGGTAAGTTTCTCCAGAACTGTGTACTCGGGTTGTCTGCTGCTCTGTTACCCCTTAAGGAATGTGGGCTGTTGGCTCAAACTCCACCTCTGGAATTTCCAGTGCACTCATCCCGTGTAGGAGGCTGGTCCTAATACACATCTGGAAGGAGTCAAAGCTTCAGCCCGAGTGGGATGGAATGAACCATTTCAGGTACTGCAGTGGATGTTGTCTACCTTGACTTCAGCAACGTTTTGTTACAGTCTCCTGTGACATCCTGGTAATAAAGCTGAGAAAGTGTGGGATAGATGAGTGGATGATGAGGTGGGCTGAGAACTGGTTTACTGGCTGAGCTCAGTGGTGGTGATGGGTGGCACAGAGTGCGGCTGGAGAGCTGTGAGCGGCGGTGCTCCCGGGGGTTGGTGCTGGGTCGGGTTGTGAAGGGGAGATTGTGTTTGTGCTGTAGAAGCTTTGAGTATTTTCTGTATGTAGTACTGGCTTTACTGAACTTACAGCCCTCTTGTGAAAGAGCTGTTTGCCTTCCACTAAGAAAGTTGCAGAGCAGAGTGAAAAGATAAAGATTTGGGGTGTTCTGAATTGAGCCAGGCACAAAATAAGGCAAATGTGCAGGGTGGAGAGAGAGAGCCCAGCACAGGGCAGAACAAACGTGCTCACTCTTGGTTGGCACACCAAAAGCCTGTTGCTGCCATTCAGGCTGGGGAGCTGGGCAGAAACAAACCAGATGAGGTGGAACAAAAGCAAGTGTTGAGCCTTGCACCTGGGAAGGAATGGCCGCAAGTATCAGTACAGGCTGGGACGTGACCGGCTGGAGAGGAGCTCTGCAGAGAAGGACCTGGGGGTCCTGGTGGACAACAGGTCGGCCGTGAGCCAGCAGTGTGCCCTGCTGGCCAAGAAGACCAATGGCATCCTGGGTGCTTGAAAAGGAGCACGGCCAGCTGAGCAAGGGAGGTGATTTTCCCACTCTGCTCTGCCCTTGTCAGGCCTCACCTGCAGTACTGCATCCAGTTCTATGCTCCCTTCACGGTACAGAAATGACAAGGATCTCCTGGAGAGAGTCCAACAGAAGGCCAGGAAGATGATAAAGGGCCTGGAGCATCTCCTCAGTATTGGAAGGGCTGGGGGACCTGGGTCTGTTCAGCCTTGAGGAAAGAAGACTGAGAGCAGATCTGATTAATGCTTATGTATTTGTTAAGTGTGGGAGTCCAGAGGACACGGCCAACCTCTTGTCAGCAATCTGTAGGGACAGGAGAAGGGGAAATGGCCACAAACTGGAGCACAGGAAGTTCTGCACCAAAATGCAAAGGATCTTTTTCACAGCAAGGATGATGGAGCACTGGAACAGGCTGCCCAGGGAGGCTGTGGCTTCTCCTTGTCTGGAGATATTCCAGACCCTCCTGGACACCCACCTGCGCAGCCTGCTGTAGGGAGTCCATTTTGCAGGGAGCTTGGACTCAATGATCACTGGGGGTCCCCTGCAACCCCAATTCTGTGGTTCTGTGATTTTAATTCTTGCTTCTTGCAGCGATGCAGTGTTTCAGAAGGGAGAAAAGCACGGCGGGCACAACTGGATTTCTGTGGTTGGTAAAGCTGTGCTGAGAAGTGGGCTGGCTGCTGCCCCTGGAAATGTGTCTGCAGACTTTGCACCCAGAGGAATGACTTTTCCCTGCAGGTTGGGCTTGTCTAAGGTAGGTCACTGCTAGGTGAGCTTCTGCTTTAAAACATCAAGTTGTACAAATAAGGAAACTTCAAAAGCAAGATTGCCAATTCTTTTTTACATAGGTGATTTTTTCACGAGGAAAGATTTGAAATGCTTACTGCTAATGGAAGATGGAGAGAGGAAAATCAAGTCAAAGGCACGCTATGCATAGCCAGCACGTAGCATCTGCACCGCTCTCCCCCTGCACAAAGGAGGAGCAGCTCAGCAAGCTTGGCCTGGGCCATGGAAGGGAGCATACAAACATCTGGACCAACCCCAACGGAGCTGCTTCTGCAGGTTGGTTGTCTTCTGCTGTGTGTCTGCCATCCTGTTGCTCTGGGGTAGTTTTGTTCATGTTCAGCTCATGGATCTGAGGTCTGAGTTTAAGGCTGTGGGCATTGTCCAGGAGTTGGGGTAGGGTGTGAGGCAAGGAAAACTGGGGTAAGAGGATGAGGTTTAGGACCAGGAACCTCTTCCGTCACTATTAGCTCTTGCTGTTCTCTTTTTGGCTTAGGAATCCACGTGGGTTTTTTAATGAAGAACAAACTCGCTGTGCAGCTTGTGAGTGAATTCATTCACACCTGTTAATTGGCATTCTTCTCTACCTGGAGCTGCAATTGCAATGGATGCTTGTGGTCTGATGTGCAGCCCCCTCTGATGTGCTCAGATGAGTCAAGTTGGCAAGGCCTGGCTCTCGGTTGGTGAGTTGTGCCCAAGTTCAGAGAGTTGACTCTTGTCGGCTTTGAGATGCATCTTCCAGTTGCACGCTGTGTTCTTCCTGTTGTGTTGAGCTCTTGAGCTCCAGCCCTAAGTCAGGATGCAAGCGCTACCACAGAAGGGATGGTTGAGATTGGAAGTGCAGTGCAAAGGGCTGGAGCCAGCAGGAGCAGGGATGTGATCATTCCCTGTACTCAGCTCTGGTGAGTCCTCACCTTGAGTGCTGTGTTCAGTTCTGGGTCCCTGACTACAAGAAGGACACTGAATCCCCGAGATATTGCCAGAGAAGAGCAGTGAAGCTGTGAGGGGTGTAGAGCACCAGTCTTATGGGGGGTGGCTGAGGCAGCTGGGATTATTTAGTCTGGGGAAGAGGAGGCTCAGGGCAGACCTTATCCCTCTCTACAATGAGCTGAAGAGAGATTATGTCGAGGTGGGGGTCGTCCTCTTCTCTTAAGTAAGTAGTGACAGGACTGGGGGGAACGGCCTCAAGTTGCACGAGGGGAGACTGAGGCTGCATGTTAAGAAACGCTTCTCCACAGGAGTGGTCCAACGCTGGAGCGGGCTGCTCAGAGACGTGCAGGTGTTCAAGAAACATTAGATGTTGTCCGGAGGGATGTGGCTTAGTGGGAAATATTGGTGGTAGGTGGACAGTTGGACTGGATGATCTTGGAGATCTTTTCCATGCTTGCTAATTTTATGTTTCCATGAAAGGCATCTGCTGGTGAGAGCTTTGCTGGGTGAGCATCACTCTGCTGGACAGCAGGCAGCTGTTGTCTGTGCAGACAGCCACATCCATGGGGAGTGGAGGCTTTTAACCTTAACCTTGTCTTTCATGTCTCGTGTGCAGTAAGGCATGTTGTTATAAAGCACCATCGTAGGGGCAACCTTGATTTCTGCAGCCACCAGAGCACTCCCCCATGCTTCTCCCTGTGGTGTGAGACCGTATTGGAGGCCATGCAGAAGCCTGGGTAGGTGAAGTCAGTTGCTCTTCCTTTCCCCCCCCCGATGCTGGAAATAGCGGGGAATGGGACTGGGGGACATCCCAGCAGTGGGTTCCTACCTCAGCAGGACTGAATGGCCGTTCTGGTGCATGTATTTTGAGTGAGTCTGACACCAGTTAGAGAAACGAGGGGCCTGTGGACAAAAAGAATGTGCAGCGTTTTGCAGTGTAAGATGTTCTCTGAGCTGCTGCTAACAGTGCCCAGCATGCTTCCTTTTCAATGGGGAGAGGTTTAGCAAGGATTTTTTTAGATGAAAATAGTTAATCCCATATTTCTTTTTCATTGACCTTTCTTT